GAAGCCGGCGGGAGGAGGGGAGGCAGAGAACGGAGGAGGTTTAGGCGGGGGTGGTTTAACCCGAGTACGAACTTCTTAATACCACAGCTGCAGTCGGGTTCATTGTGGGATCAATACGGGGAGAGCTCGTGGTAGTGGCAGGCCAAGTGCGATTGGCCCTGACGATCGGGCACGGCGATTGGCCGATGTCGGCACTGCCAGGAGGCGGATCCTGTCGCCGCGGTTCCAACGTGTTGGGGGGTGACGGTAAAGGGGAAAGAGAATACCAGCCGCTCCGCTCGAAAACGACGGCGATAGGGACGGCTTTAGAAAAGACAGCGACAGGCACTAGGGAGAGAGGGTGACACACGGTGTCGCGTACGGGGATTTCAGTCTGTGTTCACCCATGAGAGACACACCACCATCGGCGACACGCTCCGCTCACGTTGCGAGGGTGAGGGCTCACTTTTCGTTTGCCAACTGGTCATTCTCGTTCTTCAAGAAAGCCGCCTGTCTCTCGCGTTGAGGAGTCTGAACGCGTTGCGATTGGACGACCGCGATTGTATTAAAGTTGAAAGAGACATCATCGAGAATAGACCGGATCATCACGAAAAGATCGATGGTAATCGGATGAAATATATTGTGAAGCAAGCCGCGCGTCTGTCTCGAATCGCAGCTGATTCTGCGTATACACGTGAGATGAAGTGTCGAGAACGGTGACAGCAGTCTTTGTTAGTAATTAAGTGAAGTGTGAATGAAGTGTTAGTAAAAGTTAAGTAGCTTGATCGAGACGGTACGGCTTTATCGAAAAGTTGCAAGTTGTGGACAATTGGAATTTGTTGAACTAAGAGAATGTCACGTATGGTACAAATTGTGTATGTCATCGCAAGTGGTGACAACTGATTTAAATTTTCAAGGAAAGCTTTGAAAGGAGAGATATATGAGAAAAAAGTTCTGAGAAAAAAAATTTTACGAGGATTACTAATCACTAGTAGAAAGATTGAAAAACGAAAACTGAAAATAGTAAGATAAGAAAAATACAAGAGGAAGTCGTCATATAAGAACTGCTATTAGATGCCTTCATTTATCTTGTCCAACTTCGTGGAATTTTGAGCGAAAGATATGTTTGACAATTTGACATATCCAACTGATGACAGCTACCTGAATTTTTTTGAATTCAGCCGACGCACATTTAGAGGAAAAAAGGAGAACGATCGATTTATGCAATTTCTTCGATCGCCTCAGCTGTCTTGAAAAATTACCAAACGTGTAGTTTTGTGATTTATTGTGATTCAGTTCTCGAGGAAAATTCTTTGCTATAAACTATTTATTATTTATGATACATTTCTATGTATTTTAATAAAAATGAATTATTCTGTCTAAACGAAACTGACGAGAATATCTTACTGTGATTAACTGGTGAATATCTTTTTTAATCATCTCTTTTACTTCCTTCGCAAAACGCGCAAAGTATTTACGATAATATTGAAAGATTAAACACTTTTAATAATAATATACTAGATAACATAAACTGCAATTGATAAATGAGGGATTGTAAGTGTGATTAATAAACAATCAATAGTATTACATTATCGAAATACGTGTTATAATTTTCGCGTCGGATAAATCTTGAATCCTTAACGAACGTTGACGTAAAAATTAAAAAAAAAAACAATAATAGACACCATTCAATTTTTTTTACAAACGGCACAGTAACAACAATGTTCATCTAATATATTTAAGCGATGTAGAATACTCAAATTAAATTAGATAAAGCACAGATAAAGCAGAAGTCCAAAAAAAGCAGAAAGTGTTCGACAATAATTGAACTACCTCGCTATCGCTGTATGCTGCAGCATGCACCATTATTCTTAATGATGATTTAACGACTTTAGTGATCCCGGATGATCTCGAACATTTAAATCGACTACGGGTTCGATCGACGGAGGACGAGTTTAGAAGTGGTGTTGTTCGAAAGGGTGGTGCGACGTTCGGGTACGCAAGTCTGCAGGCCAGCTCTGGGGTGTCGGGCCCGGGCGGGGTAATGAGCTGCTCCGATGTGATGTATCAATATTATCCTTACCTCTATCAGACCCATCGGCCACCGCCGCCGCATCCGACCCACCCTCATGCGGCCCCGCACAGCCACCCCCACGGCAATCCGCACGCGGCCCATCACAGCCCAGCTAGGCCGGCGCCTTTCCAACCCTTCCCGGCGGCGACAGCAACGCATCAGTATGACAGGGTAAGTTGAGTTTTTGTTTTGATTTTGAAATCATAAAGTGTCAATCGTCTTACCGAAAATTTTGTTAATTTTCGAGATAACAAGATAGAAAATTAAAACTCGATAAAAAAATCTTCATAAATAACAAAATCTGTAATTGATAGCGATAAAAATAAAAAGTAATAAATATGAAAATTTATAAAGTTAATTTACATTGAATTCATAATATAAAAAATTTTTTAAAATAATAAAATTGAACAATCGAATAAAACTAAGATAGAAATAATTGAATAGATATTTTTTGTTGTAGTTGCTAATTAAGTTAAGGACGCTGCGATACAAAATATATATCACTAATAATTAAAGTAAAAGATTGTGCGAAGACGTTAATAAAGTGCGTTAGAATGTCCAGCAATTCAAAGGTGGTCCATCTTCACATTTTTATAACCTTATTCTCTGGTCGCCTGTCCCTGATACTTAAATCGCCCAAAGCAATTAAAAACAGACCCACGTAAGTCATTAAGTTAGGCACATTCGATAAAAACTGCAGCCATTTATAACAAGTTTCGCTTGTATTCCACATCGACTGTGTCCGCTTTTACGACGAACAACTATTCTTTAATGCCATATAAATTAAAGCCAAGGAAACGACTTTATTGCGCCAAATATAAAGTTCTTCATTTAACTTATCACCAGATTAACAGTACAATGATGGAAATTTAAAGCGACTTTATTGTTCCAAATATATAGCTCTTCATTTAGCTTCTTACCAGATTAACAATAGAATGATAGAAATTTGAAATAAATTGAATACATTATGAAAAAAGAAAAACATTTTTTCTTTATAATTTAAGATTTCATATTTTGTTCATATGTAAATATTTAAAATTTATTAGAAATTCTTTCTCTGAGATTTAGATTATTAAATTGAATACTTAGATCCTTAATCTTTTTGAATTTATTTAGTCCTTATTTAGGTTGCCGATTTTCGAATATTTGTATAATCAGTTCTTTGAATATCGAATATATAGTGAATAGATTCACTTTTCGAATCACTCGACTTTCGATTTCTCAATTTTTTTTATGAATATCACCTAGCGTTATTTCCTACAACTCGAAGAGCACCGTCGACGAAACAATATTTCAACTTAGTTTCGCGCATGCTGAAATAGTTTCGAGCAAGAAGAAGAAGGAAGAAATTTTCGCGAGTAACGCGTGGAATCGTCTGTGCATCATTTTAATTTGTCTGCTGGGAGGTCAGGCGTGCTCCTGCCCTCGGTGCACCCATCCGTGCACCCATCCGTGCGCCGTGGGGTGTCGAGCGTCGTTTTGCCATCTTTCCCGGACTGGTGGGAAAGAACTGTTCCTTTTTTCCAGGACCGAGCTCTCTTAGGTAATATTAAACCGTTTGTAACTAGTGATGCGCACCATGAATATTCTCGAGGAAGCATATTCTCAAGAAAACGAAGGCATTCTGAGAGAAATACTGTGAGAAAATTTCGAAAATAACAAAATAACTCTCCAATATTATCCGTGAATTAATATTTCAAAAAAATATTCTTAAAGTATGTGAAGAATATATATTTAGAAACATCCACTGTAAAATAAAATGTCGCGAAATATCATGAAATTTGAATCATAAAAGTTAAAGAAGGAAAAAAGATTTAGAATTATTACAATTTAAACATTTAAAATTTTTATGATTTTACTGTGTCACTTGCACATTGAATACTTCAAAAGCAATATGAGATGAAAAAATAAATTTAAGGATAATTGGATAGTTACATTCTGATTATCTCATTTAATCTCAATATGTAAATGAGAACCACTAAAATCTATCGACTGGAACGAGAAGAGCAAAGAAAAAGAAAGAAGTGTCTACTTAAATAGACAGTAAGTAAAAATGTCTCAGAAGCTTGCAAAATAAAAAAATTTTTGTATATCGCAAAATAAATATAATTATATATAAATTATAATCTAGAATTCTTAGATCGATGTTTAGATGTTAAAAATTTGAAATTTCGTTTATTCAAAAGTTCTGAAGATTATAAGATTTTCTAATTTTTATATTTAATATCTCTATGTGAGTACATTGGTAAAAAGAAATTATGTAAAATTTAATTAAAAAATTAATCAGAATTACCTTAAAAAATTTTCTTTTTCTCTCTCACTTTTCTTCCCTCAAGATATATAGCCGTGAAGTATTGTTGGTCCATTTATCTATCAATCTTCCAGGGACACATTGTAGAAATGTGAACGTCCCGACGTTTTCTCTTCTCTTCTCCTTCTCTCTCGTTCTCCGTAGTAGCGATCGCGAGATAACATCCGGCAAGAGCGTTAAGCGCGCGCGCGATACGAGCGAAGAGGAGCAAAGTAAGGAAAGCCGATCCCGACAGTCGGACAGGACAGGTTCTCTGCGAGGGGGTTCCCCCGAGGGAAGCGAAGGGAACCCGCAGCTCATATCGTTGGAGTCCGGGTAGTTCACGCGACCGCGGCGACACGAATTTACTTTTATTTAAACCTCTTTCCTTCCTTTTATTTAAGATCCCAACGAGTCCGGGAGGAGCGTCGCTCATTTTGCTTCTTTGCTTACCTCCGCTCTCTCTCTCTCTC